TCTATTTTGATGATATTTTATTATCGATATTTCTTGATAAGTTCACTAATTATTATTTTACTTGATCTTATAATCGAGACACAATAATAACATGATGTGGAGAAGAAGGAGAGTGTTCGAAGAATAACATTTACTTAGGAAAATTCATTAAGAAAATGATATCTTATAAACTTCTTAATTTATGCATGACTAGTCAACTTCTAAGTAGCTAGAGCAATATGACAATTACTTTTATAGTTGTAATAATTATATTTATATGCACTTGCGGCTTCGGCTGCGTTGGAAGTGCATCATCCCCTTGGCGTCTATGTCAAGGGTTTTAGCTGCCACTGCTGCAGTAATATTATACCTACTCCCCTATCCCTTAATTTCCCACTGATCAAAAAAAAAATTATATTTATATATGAAGTAATAATCACTTGTATAGAAGTGATATTAGCTTTCATAAATTCACTTTTATAAAGCAGTAGGAACATCTAACAAATGGTTCCTTATTTTGCGTCAATAAACACAAAGACTAGTTTTAGTTTTTAAAAAATTAATTGAAATAATATAAATAATTTGCTTTTAATTGTTATTTGTAGTTTCTTTATTTTGGAACTTAAGTCAAAGAGTTATATATATATATATATGTATATATATAATCTTTTGAGTCAAAGAGTTGACAAAAGGATAAAGGTTTTTTTTTTTAATGGGAAAATGGGTAAAATTAAACATTTATAAAATGATGATAGTATAATTGATGATGGAAAAAATGCTTAAGGATACAAGTGTTAGACACCCTAAAGTTCAGGAGGGCAAAATCGGGAAACGGGGAAAGTGACATCGGTGAAAGACCTCTCGTTCCTAATCTCCGTCTCTTTTCTCAGTATCTTTAGCCGCTTTCTGTTCCCTGAAACTCCTTCCCTTCCAAGAGAAGCAGAGACAGAGAGATCCGAGGAGTTTGGGAAACCCTTTCCCTCTTATCATCGAAGGGACACACTTCGCTTAAGCTCTCATCTCATCATCCTCGCTATCAGGTGCTTCTGCTGTTTTTCTCCTTCGTTTTCATAATCAATTTTCTTTACTTTACTATTCAAGAAACAGGAAACTGATTCAAAATCCTGTTCTTGTTTTCCTCCTTCAACTTGCATGTAGTTTTGTATTTTATGCATGGGTTTTGCTAAAGTTTGGATCTTTAGTTCAGTTCAGAATCAGGATACCAGGTTGCCTACTTACAAGCTGAAGGGACTTATGCAGTTTAGCCAGACTTATCTCTTTAGTATTTACTTAGTTTCTGTGTGAAACTGTGAATGGGTTTTGCTAAAGTTGCTTTGTTTGATTCAAACGATTGCATTTGTGTTTAATAATCCCCCCTGGTTCCTCATGTTAACTAGTTAAAATGTAAGAGAAGTGAAATCCACCTTGTGCATTCATTCTTTCATCACATTCAAGCCAAATTAATCTCCTGAGGGTTGGATCATGCTTTACATGTTTGAGTATCGCATATAAGATCTCATAGAATTTTGGTATTCATGGACCTTCTGTTATCCTTTGACTGAAGCTTTTAATTCTTTTTCAAGTATGATAACGGGTCAATTATATTAGTTTACTCCTTGCAGTCATGGCAGCTTTGCCACCGGAGGGATCCCAGTTTGATGCTCGCCAATATGATGCTAAAATGAATGAATTGTAAGCTTTCATTTCTTCTTGTCTGTTTTAGAGTTTTTCTTTCTGATTCACTAGAAGTAAAATGGATTTTATTTTGCCTCAGTTATGACTAATTAGTAAAATGGATTTTATTTTGCCCCAGTTATGACTAATTAGCTAAGTAGTTGGTTTACTTTTGCATAATGTTCTTACATACTTCTGTGATGAGACATTCTCATGTTTTGACTGGATAAATTGATATGAGCAGACTTCAGGCTGATGGGCAAGATTTCTTCACCTCATATGATGAGGTTTGTGACACTTTTGATGCTATGGGATTGCAAGAGAACCTTCTTAGAGGCATTTACGCATATGGTATGTTAATGTGATTCAAATTTACAACTTACAAGCTGCTAACTTATTTGTTTTGATGCTATGGGATTGCGTAATTTTTAGCTATAAGCTATAGCTCCATTAGAAACATTTCAAACTTCAGGTAACTTGACATGTTTCCCTTTTACATTATTATTATCAGTTTATCACTCCTAGAGAAAGAGCTTCTATACTAATATTGCTCATCACTTATTTCTGAATGCAATACCTACCTTATAAATTATAATGGTGAAATCTTCTGCACTTTGTTGGACAGCTACATTTCTTATGTGTTTGAAGACTTGTCCTAATATTTTTGAATAATCTAGCCTCTATGTGGATCTGATATTTGGTCAAAATATTCCTTGAAGGTTTTGAAAAGCCCTCTGCGATTCAGCAAAGGGGGATTGTTCCATTCTGCAAGGGACTTGATGTAATTCAACAAGCTCAGTCTGGAACTGGGAAAACAGCAACCTTTTGTTCTGGGATTCTGCAGCAGCTTGATTATGGGTTAGTTGAGTGCCAGGCTTTGGTCCTTGCGCCAACTCGAGAACTAGCACAACAAATTGAGAAGGTTATGCGAGCTCTAGGTGATTATCTTAGTGTCAAGGTTCATGCCTGTGTAGGTGGAACCAGTGTACGTGAAGATCAACGAATTCTGTCTAGTGGGGTTCATGTTGTTGTTGGTACACCTGGTCGTGTGTTTGACATGTTGAGGAGACAATCTCTGCGCCCTGATAATATTAGGATATTTGTGTTGGATGAAGCAGATGAAATGCTCTCACGAGGTTTCAAAGATCAGGTCCTTTTTCTACTGCTTGTAATTTCATTGTTTTCTTCTTGTGCTCTTTACAACCTTTCACTGGAATTTTGGGCTTGCAAAGGTTTATGGGATATAATAAATATGCATGTGTTTTATTGTTTACAATGAAGGAAAGAATGTTGCTTATGATGGTATTCTAGTTGTTGGGAGGAAATGTGGGAATCACAACAAATTACTTGATTTTTTTCTGTTCAAGTCAATTCTGTCTCTTGGTGGCATCTGACTTCCGTGTTCATATTTGCCAGATCTATGACATCTTTCAGTTGTTGCCACCAAAGATTCAGGTTGGAGTTTTCTCTGCCACTATGCCACCTGAGGCCCTTGAGATCACAAGGAAGTTTATGAACAAACCTGTAAGGATTCTGGTAAAACGTGATGAGCTTACCCTTGAGGGTATCAAGCAGTTCTATGTCAATGTCGAGAAGGAGGAATGGAAGCTCGAGACACTCTGTGATCTGTATGAGACCTTAGCAATCACCCAGAGTGTCATTTTTGTAAACACCAGACGTAAGGTGGATTGGCTCACTGACAAGATGCGCAGCCGTGATCACACTGTGTCAGCCACCCACGGAGACATGGACCAAAACACAAGGGACATAATAATGAGGGAATTCCGATCTGGGTCTTCCCGTGTGCTAATCACCACTGATCTCTTGGCTCGTGGTATTGATGTCCAGCAAGTCTCACTTGTCATCAACTATGACCTTCCAACACAACCAGAGAACTACCTTCATCGTATTGGTCGTAGTGGACGATTTGGTAGGAAGGGTGTTGCCATAAATTTTGTCACCAGAGATGATGAAAGGATGCTATTTGATATCCAGAAGTTCTACAACGTAGTAATTGAGGAACTACCATCAAATGTGGCTGATCTTATCTAACCCCTCCCGCTCATCATCAAGGTAAATGGCCATGAATCTGGAATTCACATATGTACCTCTGCAATTCCGATTTTAGAAGTAGATATCAAAATTTTGTATCATGTTTGTCATTCCCTCCCCCTGTGAAAAATTAGAAGAATTGTTGTAGCAGTGTTTGAAATCATTCCCTAGAGCTGAAACGTTGTTATTGTGTTCTATGATATTGTATTTGCTTCCCTCTTGCATTTTGATCTAGTTTATTAATCTTCATCTCTATTGTTTCAGCTAATTAACATTTTAACAGGGAATTGTATGTTAAAGAAAAGTCCTTTTAGGTAAGGATCTGCGTAGAAAAAGATCAACAGTGCAATGTTTACCTGTGAATTTTATTTACAAAAGTCGAGAATAATTCATAAAAGAAAGTTCATCGAGACATTGAAAAAGGGGATAGGTTAGGGATTTTCATTTTTATTGGAATTGCTGTTCTTTTTATTATTTACCTCTTTACACAAATTGCATTTTTTGCATTTCTTGAAGGTTTTGTTAATCTCTGTGCGTGTGT